TCAAGGTAGGGCAGACTGCTTACTGATCTGAATGTCGTCTTTAGCTTGAAACGTGACCAGCTTATTTCCTACCATGAGTTTGTCTCTTTTGGTGGAGCGTTGAAAGAACTACCTTAGCGTCGTGAGTCCAAAGTCTCCTCAGTTTCCTCTTCGGATTATGTTTTTCTTCGATCTTATTATTTATTCCTTTATTCTTAGGAGCGTCATCTTATACGTCCTTGGCGAAATATATTCTTCCACTTCTAATCTTGCCCCTGAATGCCGGCTATGTTGGAGATATCTTCATTGATGGACGATGTTTTTGCGTATCTCCATGGTACAACTTTATTTGACGTGGGAGGCGTGAACAAACACGATGACGTCCTTGCCCCCTCTCCTTTATTTACTCGGATGACCAACGGTTGACGCTTATTATCCTCCTTAGGCGGATCAACCGTTGGGGAAAACTTGATGACAAAATGTTTGCTCTTCATCTTATTTCGATTCATGGAAAGCACATCGATTAATCCTCTCTTTTTATTATGTTATTATTGTTAAAGTGAGGATGAATGTATGAAAATTATGAATGTAATAGACAGTCGAGGGGATGATGAAAATAAACAATTTTATTTATTTCATCCAGAAGGTGTACACTCCTCAATGCAATGCTTCGAAGCACACACATTTAAAAACAAAAAAAAAAATAGGAAAGCCTAAAGGAAACCATAAGCGGGTTAAAATTTCTATATATTTTCTTTTTTACTTCTTGTGCATGGCATGCGAATGCCCTAATCCTCTTTTCATGGTATTGAGGAATGTTCACTTTCTTCAACTGTCTATTGTTAGATGCATGTAATGAGGATGAAGTTTGGTGGATGCATGTATGTTTGTGTTTTTTTTTTATGCAGATGAGGGCATGAAGAATACCAGCCGCTTTTTAGAATGGAAAATTTTTTTTATTGTTTAAAATGAATGATTTATGAGATGGATATTCCTTAAGACAATGGCTTAGGTATTCTCCTTAAAGTTTATGCTTTGTGGGGTATCATACCCACCTTGGTGTAATGGTTCCTTCCCCATCACAGATTTGACAAGTATAATGGGGATCACCATCACACCTTAGTACGCTTGTCCCTTCCTTGTTGCCAAGGTCACAAATGTGCTCGGGGCCTCTTTCGCCATTGTCTTAGGGATATCTAGTGCTCCCTAGAATGAGTGTATTTATGCATGCATCAGTACAAAAGGGCGTAGATGTTCAAAGTGGCATAACTTTTGACTCAGACGTCGGATTTGGATGCACAACATATCAAAATGAAGAGAAAAAGGTGAAGAATCAGATTAAAATGATGCGTATGCATACTTTCCTTATGCATTTCTCTCTTGGTTTTTCAGCTTATGAAATGATGCGATATGAATGATACGACTTTGTCAAAATTATTTTTATAAATGTTTTAATTTTGTTATTATTATTTTTTTATTTTATTTTATTTTATTTTTTTATTTTTTAGCCTTTTATCTCTTCTATCGGATTGCGTGGCTACTTAGCTTACAAAGAACCTGAAGTTAGGCTAGCTAAAAGGCGGATTGTCCGAGATAAAATGGTTTATTGTGAAAAAATATTAATGTCCCTTATCCCTTTTGTCGGACTGCGTGGCTACTTAGCTTACAAAGAACCTGAAACTAGGCTAGCTAAAAGGCAGACTGTCCGAGATAAGGGTGTTTATTGTAAAAGATATTTTTCTGGTTTTTGACATTTTTATCTGTTGTTTAGTTATGCTATGAAATCAAATGCAACAAACAGATGAACACACAATTCACTCATCCGTGATCAGGCGAGAAGTCGTTTTAATCACGAGGTAGGGTTTTCCTACAAAAAAGTGCATTGGCAAAGGCAGGTTCTAACTGTTCTCACCAAGGCTTAGGCCCCCAAGGTGCCCCCATTATAGGGTCCCCACTCTCCAGCCTTCCGACCATGCTTAACACTAAGGCCATAGTCAGTCTTTGTGCCAAAAGAGGAAGGTTATCACCTTGAGTGGTGGTTTCCGATCACACCGGTGGGCTCAGGGTCATCACTACGGCGAACCGTACCTGCCACCCACTCCCTATGGATTTCTCACTTGCCCCCAAGTATAGAGGGAACTGTTGTGTGCAAAGGTTTGTGTGCATTTTGTATTTCAAAGAATTGCGTAAAAATAAACAAACAACAGTTATTAAAGCCAAGTAATTAAAACGTGTTATAATACAAGGTAGGGTAAAAGCGTAAACCGAAACCCTAAACCCATCACTAAATGGGATCAACTCTCTAGGCTTTCCCAGTGGAGTCGCCACCTGTCGCCACCGTCAAAAAGAGGCGGTCGGAGCGACGCGATGGTTCTGACTTTCCAATTTTTTGAGTTTTTATGGGTGATGTTACAACGCCTTTAGGTCGTCCGATAACAGGGTTGAACCCAAGGGCGAGGTTTTCGAAAAGGTGTTCTTAGGTCGTCCGATAACCGGACTGACCTAAGAACAAGTTTGAAAGGGTTCTTATGGAGTCGCCACCGATGTTTTTACCGGAAACATCGAAAAAGGAGAAAAAAAAAGGCTTTGGTTTTCGAAAACCAACTTTGGTCATTAAAACCAGAGTTGGATAAGGGAGTTAGTTACATGTAAGGGAAGTGTTAGTTCCCTTATGACGCCCCTTTCGGGTTCCCTATGATGGGCCAATTATTTTATAGATAAACTTTTGAAAAGATGCTTTTACCCTTTTATTCGCAAAATTAAGATAATGACTACATGACCCTAATGTCTATTACGCAATTTAATTATGAAAATAAAGACAGTAAAAGAGAGGGAGAGAGTGGAGAAACCTCTGAAGCAAGCTTTTTGATTAATTCTCTTGAAAATAGGGTGCGTTTTGGCAGCCCTTCGCTCTTACAACGCCGAAAATCTCTCGAAAATGCTATAAAAAGCTCTCTAAGACACTCAGAAACTCCAGAAATGCTTCGGAGGGGCTCTAGGAGGAGAATTTGAAGAAAGTGTAGAAGGGAAAGTGGAAGAACTGTGTGAAATGAAGGGGGAGCTCTCACTATTTATAGGGATTCGCGCCTGTCAGGTCGAGACGACGCTCTCGACTGGCAAGGTCGAGACGGCGGTCTCGCCATTTGGGACGGCGGTCTCGCATTGAATCAATGGTGTGACGGCGGTCTCGATTTTCCAAGTGGCGAGAAGGCCTTCTCGCCAAACGGGAAGGGGGTCTCACCATTGGCAAGTGGCGAGACGACCGTCTTGCCAAATGAGACGGTCATCTCGACTTTGCCATTCAGCGAGATGGCGGTCCCGAAAAGTGAGACGGCGGTCTCGATTCCTAAAGGCAAAAATCCTTATTTTTGTATAGAAAATCCTTCATACTCTAACATGGGGCCTAATAGTCTCTCCTAGTGGCTTTTTAGGCTTGGTCCACCTTCTAATAGTAGGCCTTCTGCTCTTATTTTGAGGCCGAGCAAGATTTGGGGTCTACTCTTTTTACTTTTAGTTTCTTTTTGGTTAATGCACTGATTTTTCAAAAGAAGAGCTTAAAATGGATGAAATAAAATTTTTATTTATGATAAAACTTTTCGTTACAGCCATGATTTTTTATTGATGTCCCTAAGATGGCGGACTCGGTGGATGAGACGATTCGGAAAAGGGGAATTGTCGGTACATGTTCCTTCAAATTCGCTCGGTTTCGACTTCATCGAGGTGTTCTTGTCGAACATCGCTGAAATTTGTCTTATCCTTGTACTGGTCGAATGTCTCCATCCTTGTGTCGACAGGCGTCCCGCCTTAAAGACATCCGGTCCTGGCCTTAGGGACATTTGGCTGAATTGCTAGTGCAAGTCGTAGATGTTAAGGCGTTGATGCCAACAAAGTCGCCCTGTAATCAAGTAGCTTGTTGCTGGAACCTCCGGGTGTGCCTGGAGATCTTGGCATTACTAACGATGTCCCGAGATCCAAAGTTATGTCCAAGCCGAGGGGGTGGAGGATCAACCGGGACCTCTTCGGCGTAGGCAAAGATCCCCATGCCGGGACTGTGGTTGCACTGCCGTTGATAGTCTTCGGTCGAGGTTGGAGGTCGGCGGTCCGCCGCCGCTACACCCCCATTTTTTTGCCGCTGGGGTGATGAGGGCTGAGCCATGAGGATAGCTCCTTCACTTGGTCGCGCTCCCCCCAAGTCCCGAGGGCTCTTCTCTTGCCAGAAGAAATAGCTAGGGGTTGCACGGCGCTCTCTTGCTCATGCAAGAGAGGGCTTATGAGACCCGGGTGGGCAACCTCACCCCGACTCTCCTTCCGCCCGTGGGACCTACCTGCTCCACCACTTTGTAAGGCAAATGCGGGGAGGGCGGGTGAGTGCGGAGCCCTTCAACGTGGATGGCAGTAGTGTGTATCCCTGCAGAAGCTCCTCCCACATTTCTCGCCGACGGTGAGGGTATGCGGCGCTCAGCGATGGCCTCCTGGTACTCCTCGGTCGATCGCCGGGCCTGGACGCGTCCAATGGATACATTGAACTGGCCCAGTGGTGGTGGTCCTGTACATCCCGCTCATGAAGTATGTCACCATCTTTGTAGGTGGGAGACCACGACACCATGGTGGGAATCTCGCTAAAGCAGGAGATGGAAGCTGCAGAAATTCCATCACCGCCTTCGGTGGGCAGACGTGCGAGTGGGTGGAGACCGGAGGAGGAAGCGCTCTACCCTATGGGCCGGCCAATGTAGGCGCCAGGTTGTCGCCTCTTCCCACCCAAACTCGGGCGAGATGCCAAAGTCTAGTCTCGCATGGGGTGCCAAGTGTACCCCTAGACGCAAGCTCTGCGCAGCGCTTGGTGTAAGGGCGAGATATGTGTGGGATCTGTGGGACGTGGGTCAGTGGAGCCAATGGGGCCGAAGAACCCCTTTATTTTTGGATGAGTCTCCTCTCTGCATTGTTTTGGTGGTAGGATGCTTTTGGAAACATAGGGAGAAAGGAAGGTAGGAGTGTAGGAGAGAGAGTGTTTAGAGACCCCCATGTGCACCCTTATATATAGGATTTTCGGCCAACTTCGGACCGCCTGCCCCCGAATTTGCGTGGATTCAGGACCGCCCGCTTGGAACCTTCGAGACGACAGCCTCGACTCTTGGCCTCCAACGAGACTGGGCCATCTCGCCAGGCGAAGGCGGTCTCATTTTTTGCCACAACCGAGACGGGCGCGTCCCGGTTTAACAATGCAAGCTCTAGGATTTGGCCAGAGGAGCTTGGTGACTACGGCCTCGTTTTTTGTATGATTTTTTTTTTTGAAGAAAATAG